GAACATCTAACGTGGGCTGACCAAGTGACTGCACTTCTTTCATCCTGTTATGCAGCATTGGCTGTTCTCCGGAAACTGCGCAACCTCGCACCATACTATGTTCACAAGCAGTTAGTGGAGTCATTAGTGATGTCAAAACTGGACTACCGGCGTGTCGTCTTCTATCCCCTCCCAGAATACCAAATGAAAAGACTGCAAAAAGTTCAAACAACATGCGCGGGCTACGTTCTTGGGCGGTATGCTGTTTTAGAGGACTTGCAAAAATTAAACTGGCTTCCAATTATTAAAAGGAGAGACCTGGCACTATTGAAAATCACCTATAAAGTCCTTTACGATGATGTTTGGCCTGATTACTCACGCCCTAAATTCCATACTGTCAGTGCCTATAACTTAAGATCTCTTGAAGGACCAGAGTTGGCTATTCTAACTGAAAGCGGCACTTTTCAGGACTCAACAGCGAGATTATTTAACACGTTACCTGATAAGTTAAGGCAGGAACCGGACTACAACAAGTTCGTTAGGTTAGCGAAGAAGCTCATGTTCTCCGTAGGAGAAAGCGTATGACCGATTTATTTAGCAATTAATGAATGAGGCTGAGTAAGATATGAAGAATTAAGCAGATCGAGGGTTATCCACCGATGCCGAAGGCCAAGGTAGATAACACCCTCCGAGATCTGCTAAAACATGCTTACCTGCATCGATGTAAAGTTCATCTTCGATAGTGTACGTTTAGGTTTGTCCAGCTCCGCAAATATCACATATCGCGAAATGGTCTTCGCGTTGTCTTCTTGCTGTTTTTGCCATGTTTTTAGCTATTATTTCGCCTAGTTCCAGCTGTAGATCGTACTCTTGAAACGAGTGAAATGTCCGCCATTTGTTTTTTTCACAACCGAAACAACTCAACCTCGTCCCCAGGTCTTCTCGGTAACGGTGCCTTAACCTGTAGCGGGCTGCATTTTTGACGTCATTCCTTCGTTAAACACAAAATTCTTCCAAATTTGGTCACCAGTAACTGGTTATGGTGAATTATGCGTGTGCTTTTAGCCAATCAGAATTGGGGAAATATTATAAATGAATAATAGTTTATTATTGTTATTATTATTATTATTATGTTTATTATTATTATTGATAACAAAGCTAACTATAAAATCCTATTTACAATTAATTTCACTTAAAAAATTGTTCAGGCAAAGCACTATTTATATTATTCCTTTCGATTAAAAAAAGAAAAAGACACTAGATTTCGTTTCGAAAAAATTAATTCCATTAAAAATATATCATATATTCGGAGAAAAAATTGCATTTAAAAAAACGGTTCATTTCAACTAAACTAAATTAACGAGCTCACGCCATTATCACACACGCTTGGGTGGCGTTTGAGCGGCAGTCATCAATGAAATCTCCTTGTGGAATTTTGTGGAAGGGTGTCCTAGAACCTCTTATGCATGTGTGTACGGACCTTAAAATCTCAAAAGAAAACAATGTTCTAATTCAGGTAATAGTAATGTGATAACATTCCTCATTCTTTTCTGAGAGCTTCTCGGCTAGGCGTTTGAGAAACCAGTTGCAGTCGGCTTCCATCCCCCCGTTGGTTCCAAAAATTAGGGAAGTGAAAGATCCCATTTCAACGTCCAGCACCCTCTGTTGGTACTTCCGCTTTTTCTCGTCCTCCTGCTCCTTAAAGATTGTGAATGTTTCTTTTCCCTGGTTGCACTTGGAGTTAACATGCGTTACTCTGACATCAAAAAATGCTGTAACTCCACGAGACCAAAAGCCCCCTGCCTTAAAGTCCAGTCTTGCCTCCGGGCTTGTTACCGCGGTTCTGAGGTTGAATCGCTCATTATCGAGAGGTTGTAGTTGTGGTTCGACTTCAACGTTGGTGCAAACCTTACCAATAAGTAAGATAAGTAGGTTGCGAACACCATCGTGTCTCTGCGCCACGAAACCTCCCTTTTTACACGACAGGGCATGGCAGACGGTATACTTCTCTGCACAAACACACTTGCTTAGTAAGTCGGACAGGGGCATATTATACCTTAAACGCAGAGAGTCTCTGAATTCCTGTTTATTCAACACTAAGCCTTGATCGACAAGAGGCACTGCGGTAAGCCATGAGGTCGCACCCTTGTCTCTCGAATGGTTAACTGACCGCAGCAGATCCGAGGGTCGAGTGGAATCAATACTTTCCATTCTCGATTTCACCGACGTAGTTTTCAAGGCTTGATGTTGTCTTTTTAACTCCTCCGTGGAATTCTCGCCTGCCACCATGAACATGCTCTCTGTGGTAATAGAATCTACGTGCGGTAGCGTTATTAACGTAGAAGCAGCAAACTGCTGTGGAGCTTCAAACCGCAAGTCGGGTACGCCTAGCCCTCCTTGAGCGGGTGTCAAAGTAGCGAGCTGACGCAGATCGCTAGGGAGGGGCTCCGTTTGACCGAATAGTGTTGGGAGAAGTAAGTCGTCGATCGCCTCTTGGATAGGGTCAACGTAATCTTCAAACGACTCTACTGTGCGCATGAAATAGGTAAACTTGGATTTGTAACCCTTCGAGAAAACAGTGTAGGCTGCATGAGGCTGGCTCCTTGCTATCTCTGATAGTGCTTCGAGTTCTCCTTTCCATCTAAGGATTTTTCCCGACAATATTGATCTTTGAACTCTTGAGATCCGATGACCGCCCTTAAGTGGCGCAGACCTTCAGTTGTAACATTGACCTAATCTCCAAACACCCTCTTTGCCTCATCTGCAAGTACGTCCGACTAGATCAGCCAGCTCTTTGATCCATTCACCAGATAACCAAACTTCTTTCCTTCCTGACTCAGGTGATTGTACCAGTTACACAACGGCACAATTTGTCCACCCCCCGCAGAGTCGTCGGCTAACCATACTTGTTTAACACCTGGTGTGCTTGTCCTTAAGCTCTGGATCATGATAGATGTATTGATTGAGTACCAGGGCATGGCCAAGGGATATTATTATGTCGCAGTATGAAACTTTGGAATGCTGTCCACATTATGAGTAGTATAGGGCGCATAGCGTAACCTACACCACTTGAGAAGCTATACTTAGAAGTAAAAAAAGGGCGATACGAAACCTATTACAATCCTAAAATACATAGTGATATGAATCTCTCTCCTTAAAAAGCCAATTTAGAATATTATTAAATTCTGATACTCTGTAAAACCTTCGCTATCTCTACTAAAAACTTATTTATAATAATATCAAACTCTAACGTTCTAAAAAATCTAAGTAAAAACGTCAGCAAGCTTGTGTTTCTAGATTTCTAGAGAAAAAACAAAAACCTAAAAACTGAAGTCCATAGCGCCCCAACTAAGTATTTATCTTAAATGTTCTGGCAATGTTTAAAGTGTTTGAGACGACCGACTTCTGCATCCGCTCAAGTACGCTCCGTGCTCTCGCTTCAAGTAGCTTCCTCACCGACTTCTCTAGGTGTTTAGAGTAACCCCCCAGTACGTCAATTATTACGTTGTACTGTTCAACCCTGTAACCTTTGTATCTCTGCTTCAGCTCCCACATCATGGGCCCATACTTGAGTGTCTTTTCCTCATCTTTCTTAGCTCTACTCTCAATCCATGGGCAGCTCATTTCAACTGTGCAGAATTCTTTCCTCTCGTGGCTGACAAGTCGCGCGTCGATCCGATTTGCTCTAACTTTGTTGTGCTCTGCATAGATGGGAATATCCTAAAACGCCTCACTCGTGGTGTTCTGGTAGGCTGGTTTTGGCATCACCGGCGAGTACCATGGTGGAACCTCTTCCATTAACCCATGCTCTCGCAGGAGCTCAAAAAACAGAATCTTCAAAGCTGCATTATGCCTGTATAGGNTGTAGTGTTTTCCTTCCCCAAGAGCCGTGATGGTAGTTGTCTCATACCAGACTCGTCTAGCACTTGGGCTCCCATCTTAACGTGTACCACTGAGCACTTTTTCTGATTCCAATGGAGGCCGATGTCCTGCATCGCTCCTCTAGTCTCTTTCAGCACTCGGTTCAGCTTGCTCTCGGAGGCAGCAAAAACCATGAGGTCGTCGATATACAGGAGATCGGTGACTTGACTCCTATAGGCTTGGATAACCGGTATCCCTCTGTTGCCCGCAGGCGCCACGCTACGGGGTTCAGGCACAGTGTAAACAGTCTAGGACACAAAGCGTCCCCCTGGGGTAGTCCCTTCATGAACCTTATTTTTCTAGAAGTCTCTCGCCCTTACCTTGTTGTAGCTACTACTTCAGTATTCCAGCTCGCACACAACTTGCGTATAATATTGCGGATATTATTATTATTATTATTATTATTATTATTATGATTATTATGATTATTATTATTATTATTAAGCCCCACTGGTAAAGGTAGGCCAGATGTCATTGTGCAGTTGTTATTTACATGTTCCAGGGCCCGGTTGCATAAAACGCCCGTAACAACTACAGGTATACGTACGTGCACTCGTAACTTAAGTGAGTTGCATTAAATCACTTAAGTGGTCCACTTAGGGAATTCACTTAAGTGGTTGCACTAACGATTTTCGTAAGTGTTCACTTAAGTGTGGTTTATGCAACAGAAATTGCGGGTGTTGCATAAAACTTTTTTCACGGGAAAAATAGCACGTAAATTTACGAGACCTATGTAGGTCCCGTATCCTTACTGTTTTTACCAAAGTTAACGAGATCTTTTACTGAGAAGTGAACAAAAAAATGTTTTTTCTTTACGTAATTCCGTTCTAATGCGCTTTTTTAACCTCTGATGGACAGTTTAAAGCCGTCGTTAAGAAAAAAGAAGGACAGCAGACATTTCCAGTGGATATTGAAGTAAAATAACGATGTCATGTAAACTTTATTTGAATGAGAGGCTTAAAGGTGTTCGAAACGACCTGACACTTTCTTTACACTCACCGATGGTTAACTTAATTTAAAAAAATAGAGCGAGTCAAATTAATAATTAAAAGTACTATATCAAAGTTACGTGTGCCCTTAAGTGAGCCCGTAAGTTACCACGTAAAACAGAAACTTACGAGAGTGCTAAGTGTGTTCCATGCAACACCCGTAAGTGTACCCATACCGGATTCGTAAGTGACCTACTTAAGTTGGCACTTAAGTGCAGGTTTTATGCAACCGGGACCCGAACCGTAAGTCAGTATAACAAGCAATAATTTGTGAATAAGTCAGAATAACAAGTTTCATCAAGAGGTTGTTCAGTCGCGGGGTATTTTGCTGAAATGTCCAGGTATCCGTTCAGGAGCTAAACTAAAGAACAAAAGTACAGGTTTTAGCCGAAAAACCTGTTCAGTTTGTTATGTTAACTGGCGGTTTTATGATATTATCAGCTCACCATCTTGAATGTAAAAACAACTTTAGGAGCCCAGAAGTAAGTCGACCAGAACTTTCGAGAAGCTTTCTCCTGGGCAAATACCTTTATGCACAATCTCGAGTAGCCGTGGTACAGTATAGCCTGAGCTGCGTCCTGGAGGTAATTTAACCCCGATTAGCAAAGTTCGCGAAGCAGCGGCGATATCCTTGTTCTGTGTACTCAACAGACTCTATTAATTGCCGGAAACGCGTTTCGAATTTCCCTTCAACCTGATTGGCAAATTGACAATGGCATTTTTAACAGTCCAATCATGGCGTGTACTCAAATCGTGGTACACAGGTGGGGACCTAGAACAAAGATTTCGGCGCTGTTTCGTAGACGGACTTAACCAGAGGTTAACTGTCGTCTGTGGTGCAGGCTAGGTACAGGATATAGTTAAAAAAAGAAGTTGGGTTAATTGAACTGGATAATTACCTGATGCACAAGATTTGGAGCAGCCTGACCAATTCTCATTAATCCAATCAACAGGCAACCCAGGCTGGGGCATTCCAGGCTGAGGCATTCCAGCCGCCAGCAGAGAGGGTGTGATAAGGGTGTATTTCACTCCTGGATTAATGGACTGATAGCCTTTTCTTATGTACTGAAAAAAAATCACATAGTTTATTGCTTAAATTTAATTTGAGCATTGAAAATCGCTCAAAAGCTTCTCTGTTCCCTGAAAATGTAACTTAAATATTATTCCGTTATTCTCTCCGTTGGAAAAATAATTTCGCCTGTTATTTATTCCTTCAGGTTTAAAAGCAGCAGTTTATTTATGAAGACAGGTGCTACCTTTTACATTCAGCACAAATCATACTAAAGAAACATCAGCTTAAGAGCGAATGTAGGTAATCATGCCAATGCTTGAAAAAAGTGGAACTGTGAAAACGAAACCTTCCTTCATACTTTGTGTGTAGTTAGTTCTTCAGATGAAACTACTCACTTTGACAGACGTTTGACTTGTAACAAATACCTGCATTTTCAAATTCTTGTTGCAGTGATTCTTGTATTACTTACCATTACCGTCAATTTGGCGTTTGTTGGTCCCGTTATGTGAATGATGTCCTTGCCCTTGGGTTTGTGGAAGTATCGTATCTTTGCGCCAGAAGCCTCTTTGACTTGATTATTGCCCAAATGCCCGCCAACCAAATATGTTCCAGAAGCATTCTGTACACCTGGAAACAACAACATCGACACCGGTAAGTAACTTTCGGATTCGTAATTATAGGTTATCGAAAAACAGGTTTCCACAGATTTGCTATGTACAAGTGCTACTAAGAGCCGACGCTGTCGTTACAGAGCACCTCAGGGAAGCATATAAAGTTTTCTCAACTCAAGCTGACAGCTTACTTCTACAGTTCCCCTTTAAAGCCACTTGTAAGCCAACATAAAAAGTTACAGATGGCCGCCTACAAGTGCTTGCACCACTCACGTTAGACGTTGTATGTAAAGCAAAAAGAGCACCACCCTATTAAATGATCCTTTTATGGTTAAATGTAAACGTACTCAGTACTACATTTTACTGTTGTAATGTTTCCTCTTCTACACTGTCCACTTTAGACCTTGTCCACAAGTTCCCGGAAAGTTTTGACAAGGTTTTTTTGTTTGTTTCCGTATTCATAACAGTACGCATCCTCACGCGGTGTATCCCACAAATTGTTTTTACCCATCCACACAAAAGCGCTTCAACTTTAACTTCAACTTTATTTACTAAAAAAAGTAATTACAATACACTGGCCCGCAAAATAGCAATCGCTAACCTAGGCGGACCAGTTAAAAGAAAAAATAAAGTGAAAGGAAAGGAAAGGAAGAAAAATATTTTAAGTTATAATAATTCTTATTTCTAGCATAGTTTTATTTTAATTACATTACATCTAAGGAAAAACCAAAAAGGAATTGACGGAGAGAAGAAAGCATTTAATTTTATGCAGAAATCACTTAACTGTTAATGCAACTTTTTCAATAATATCAATGGCGTCTCAATAGTCATTTTCTCTTTTTAAGATAACGGGAAGCGATCCGTGAAGAACTTTCGTAAATTCCTTTTTAAAACGATCGCTAATATGAGAAGGTATCTTATTACAAAGTTTTACGCCAAAACGCGGCAAGGAGTTTTTGTGTATTTCCAGCTTCGAGAATTTAACGTGAAAGTTACCAGCAGTAG